TAAATGTTTAATTTTTAGGAGGTCCCAGTCATCTAATCAGTCTTCTGCAGTTTGTGCATTTTGGTTTATGTTTGATGGTGTATTTATACCAAGTATAAGGGCACCTGAGATTGCTCCTATTTTTCTCTTTGATGATCTTTATAGTTTTAGATTTTATATTTAGGTTTTTGATCCATCTTAAATTAGTTTTTGTATGTGGTGAGAGAGATGGATTCTGTTTCATTTTTCTGCAAATGGATATCCAGTTTTGCAAGTAGCATTTGTTAAAGAGACTCTTCCCCGTGTAATGGTGCTCCTTTGTCAAAGATCAGCTGTCAATAAGATGGATTTACTTCTGGGTTCTCAATTCTGTTCCATTGCTCTATGTGTCTGTCAATGTACCAATGTTAGGCTGCTTTGACTACTGTGGCTGTATTGTAGGTTTTGAGATTGGGGAGTGTGAGGCCCCCTACTTTGTTCTTCTTTATTAGTGCTTTGCTTCTTTGGGATCTCTTTCCTTTCCATATAAAGTTGTTGATGAGGTTTTCCATTTCTTCAAAGGATGATGATGGAATCTGCATTGGGTTTGCATTATATCTGTAAATCACTTTGGGTAGTATTGACATATTAACAATGTTAAGTCTTCCTATCCATGAGGATTGTATAGTCTTCCATTTATGCAGCTCTCTTTTGGTTTCTTGCAGTAGTGTTTTGTAGTTTTCTTTGTGTATTTCATTTCCCTGGTAAAATTTATTTCTAAGTATTTTATCTTTCTGGTATTTTTTTCCTTATTTCCTTTTCAGAGATCCCTTTGTTGATGTAGAGGAATCTGATTTTTGTATGATTTTTTTTAAAACTGATTTTTATATGTTGATTTTGAATCCTGCCACTATTCTGAATCTTTCAATTAGTTCCAGAAGTTTTCTTCCCGAGTCTCTGGAATTTTCTGTGTATAGATAGGATCATATTATCTGCAAATAGAGATAGTTGTACTTCTTCTTTACTTATTTAGATGCCTTTTACTTCCCTTTCTTGCCTTACTGTTCTGGCTAGGATTTCCAATACAGTGTTGAATAGAAGTAGTGATAGAGGACATCCTTGTCTGGCTCCCATTCACAAGGGGAATGCTTTCAGTCTCTCTCAGTTGAGAATAATGTTGGCTGTTGCATCTATGCCTTTTATTATGTTGAGGAATTTCCCTTTTATTCCTATTTTGCTGAGAGTTTTGATCAGGAATTGGTGTTGGATTTTATCAAATGCCTTTTCTGCATCGATTGATATGATCATGTGGTTCCTTTGCTTTGTTTTATTTACGTGGTGGATGATGTTGATTGTTTTTCTGATGTTGAGGAATTTCTCTTCTAGTCCTATTTTGTTGAATGGTTTTATTTTTTAAATCAAGAATAGGTGTTGGATTTTGTCAGATCCCTTTTCTGTGTCAGTTGATATACGATCCAAGATTTAATCTCCAAAGTTTGTTCTCTTAAGGTGGAACATCACTGTTTGGTTTTGGGATAGAAACACCATTTCAGCTCTCACCACCTACCCCAGGTCCTGAAAGCTAGAGACAATGTATAATATAGACAGATGACATAAAGACTACTTTGAATCTTATCTCAGTCGTCATCTCTACTATCTCCAGATTGTTTGCAAAAGCTATTAATGAGAGCATATTTCAGTACCTCAAATTTCACTTCCTTTTCTCTATCTATTTTCCTTTAGGGGGTAGATAAAGTACAAAAGCAGAAGGTTAGAGTGGAGAGCCGGGGGAATAAGGCATCCAGTTAATTCAAAACCAGCTTCGAAGTTACTGAGATCTTGTGGTAATTTTTTTTTGGGGGGGGTGGTGAAAATTTACAGAGCAAATTCACTTTCCATTCAACAGTTTACATATACTTTGTCTCATGACATTGACTACAATTTACCCCAGTGCAACAGCTGCCCTCCTACTTCCTCCCAATAGTTACCTCTTCATGCACTTCTGCCCCCTGAGCTGTCTCCCTGTGCATAAACAGCCCTTCTTTCTCCCATGATTGATCTCTTCAAGGAGTGTATCTACCTCTGATAATTGTTCAACTCATATGCCTGTTTTTTGTTTGGCTGGAAGCCACAGGTATAGGTTCAATTCCAACCTGAAGGGCAACTAGGGCCCGTTGTCTCAGAGGTTCCACCAGGCTCTATCAGACCAGCAAAGATGGTCCGTGCACCCATTTTATTTTTTTCCAAATGATTTTGAGTTTTGTTCCACATT